ACGATCGGAAAGAAGGCCCTCGTTCACTCTCTCGTAATAACGGCATTGGAAGTGATTGTTGACCGTCCACGGAAAAGCACGACGAGAAAAAAACACACAAGACAGACGAAAGTGTTTAGATTTCGTCAGTGTTCAGTGTACCGCCGGTATGGGAGATCGAAAAGAATTCTTTTTCTTTTTTTTACAAGAAACCTGGATTGGATCTTGACTGAAATCGCTTTCCTTAACTACAAGAGGAAAGAGAGGTGGAATTCACATATTGATTTATATCATCTAGAAAGAAAAACTTCTGTAACCTAGTGCAAAAGCAAGACGTTGACGATTGGATCTCTCTCGATGCGCTCTTTCCGGATTTCTTTGCCCTGAGGAGGCCGCTAACGCTTTTCTTTTTTTCGGTATGCCGCTTCGCAAACAGAGCGAATGAACAAAAGTCCAACCTCATGAATATTCGTTTGAGGATTATCAGTTGTGCTTTAGCCATTCTTTTCGCCCGTTTTCTAGGATCAGAAGGAACCGCTATAATGACCACAGGTAGGAATCTCGTACTTTTTGGAATGCTGATTTTAGGTTTTATTTTTCTTTATCGTCATTATTGTTTTCGTTTGAAGAAAAAGTACGGCTTTCGCCTTGTCTTTCTGATGTATCTATCCATTCTATTTTTCGTCTCTTTCTTTTGCTATTTTTTGCGTGTCTATTTGGTTTATCATTTTGGTATTCATTTGTCTGCGGTCTTCTCTTTTTTTATTTTAAGTGGGGGGGCACTTCCTCTTCCGACACCTTCCGGCCCATCAAACTCGGGGAACACATCGGTCGATTGGGATAGTTTTGACGAAAGAGTTTTGTTGGAGCCGATGCCCGATTCTTCATCATCCTCAGTGAATGGGCCCCCGAACACAGAAGCGGCCGGCTCCTCCCAAACTTCTGTAAATCAAGATCCAGAAGAACTGAGAAGAACGAAGGAAGAATTACATTTATTGGTTCGCAAACAGTTGCGGCATTACTGTGAGCGTGGTCGGCCGAAATGGAAGCTTTCGCATTCAGAAGAAGCACTAAACCTATACTCGGAGTGCGCTAAGGACATTATAAAAACCTTAGAAATTGAGCCGACCGTGTCCGACCACAGGACTTGGATAACCCAACTTATGGAAAACCCAGAAACACTGAAGGACCTTTATAAACCCTATAAGTGAGGTCTTTCCAGACCTTTTCCACCTCCCTTTTTCTTTTTTTCCATGCTTTCCGTTGGTCAACAACCAAAAAAAAAAAGTTCTCTATAGTTCTTCACTACTCGTACAGGCTTGACGGAGTTAAGCTGTCTAGAGGGAATTTTTGTTTCTCAATCAAGAATGCCTCAACTGGATAAATTTACTTATTTCACACAATTCTTATGGTCATGCCTTTTCCTCTTTACTTTCTATATGCCCATATGCAATGATGGAGATGGAGTACTTGGGATCAGCAGAATTCTAAAACTACGGAACCAATTGGTTTCACACTGGGAGAACAACATTCGGAGCAACGACCCCAAGAGTTTGGAAAATATCTTGCTAAAAGGTTTTAGCACCGGTGTATCCTATATGTACTCCAGTTTATTCGAAGTATCCCAATGGTGTAACGCCGTCGACTTATTGGGAAAAAGGAGGAAAATCACTTTGATCTCTTGTTTCGGAGAAATAAGTGGCTCACGAGGAATGGAAAGAAACATATTCTATTTGATCTCGAAGTCCTCATATAGCACTTCTTCCAATCCTGAATGGGGGATCCCTTGTAGGAATGACATCATGCTAATCCATGTTCCACACGGCCAAGGAAGCATCATTTTTTAATCTCAACTTTGAGAAAGAAGCTGCAAGGGGCACTTTGATTGTTTTTTATTCACCCTTCTTTCTTTCTTTCTTTCTCTCATGCTTTCCGTTGGTAAACAGTACCATCTTTGGTGTTTCCCCGCTTCCAGCCTTATCTACGGGTGTTGGCCCAATGACGCAGCAAGCCAGTCCCCCCCGGGTGGAGACCCCTAGGATAAGCCAGGAAGTTTTATGGGAAACCTTGCAAGAGGTGGAATAGGCGGAAGCCAATCAACAAATGATGGCCCAGATTAGAACGGAGCGCAAGGCGATCAGTGATTTGATGCAGACAGCGGATGGGCACTTTTTTCCTCCGCAAACTCCCCAACATTGGGGTCGAGTTATCAAAGATGTTATACGTGCAGATTTCCAGCAACGGAACATTCCACTCCATGAATGGAAACCGGTACTACAAATAGCTTTTATTGAACTAGGGGCATATGATCAACCACCAAACGTAGATTAGTTCGATCAGCCCACAAAATTCTGTGCACAGCTTTGAGATGAGGGATACGTGGAGACTGCATAAATTGACTAAGGACACCAACTGCATATACCACAACTTCTATTTAGAATGCTAGTCTGAATAGCAGATGCTTTCCCGCAACCTTCTTTCTCTAGCTCTCTTTTCTTACTTTTGCCTCAAGTGAGATCACACAAGTAGGAATTGAACCTACGACCAGAGCTCCAAAGTGTGAGAAAAATGACCAAAACAGGAACAAAGAACGAGAAGTGAAAATGCACTAAGAACGAGGCAAGACGTTTAGCGATTAGCTCGGTAAGCTTGCATTGCTCCATCCTGTCAGCCCATATCCGGTCTTTCTTGCGCTTGTCTGACATCGATCCATTAGGTTCTACCTTGTAGGAGGGAAAGCCCTTTCTTGCCTTTAATAGGGTGGACCATTTATGCTATGTCATAATAGATTCAAAGAGAAGAGCTAGGACGAGGAGTTCAAGAGGAAGAAGATTGCTAAATCAGATCTGGAAACCTGGACTCTGTCCCTCTTCGCTTATGGAAGTCCTCGTGGGCTTGGTTCTAGGAGAATTGTGCCGTCAGAGGCAAAAACAGTAGCTAATGGAAAGGAAGGACAAGACCTGTGAGCAATATTTCGAGTTATGCACAAAATGCCTATTTTGATTAGCTTCAAACAAGAGTCTTATCTTAAGAAGTGTGAGACAAAAGCTTTTAAAAAACCAAACCAGGAGATTGCCATATCAATTGAATCCACCCGTTGACACCAAAGAAGCAATGGACGATGATTGAGCTTGGTACCTGTCCCTGCAGGTCGGGTATGAGAATGAATCCCTAGGCTTTCCAACAGTAAGGGGTTTCCCGAAGATTCACTTGTTGTTCTTAGTTGCCTGGCTCTCTCCTCTTTCTCTTGTTCCAGTCCCCTAAAGCAATACATCCAATGAGAGGTGCGAGGAGGGAAAGACTTGATATGGGCTTGTTGGCGTCTTAAACCCCACTTTCGAGACCACTTAGGATCTTATTTCTATTGTTTGAAGGTCCGTCGTGTTGGCTGGCTCAGATACTACTTACTCTCTTTTTTAGCAGGGACATCCTAAAACGACTAAGCTATACCTTTTTCAAATCCAGCCCCCAAACTTATTAGTGTCGTTCAGATCGCGCGCGACAAGGAAATCTACACCAGGCAGCCCGCCTAGTGGCTGTCTCAACCCCTCATGTGGGATAACCTAATGATGCGGGTCAATATCTGAATGGAGGTACATTAACCCGAGGTGGAATCCTAGGCATCCTTGCTCTAGGGCATAAGCGTATATGCGATTCCGGGATATAGCCGGATATAGCCTTCTTCTCGAACTCCAAGCATTTGGTATGTCAAAAATAACGGGCCCTGTCAGATGCCTCCTGTGGAAGATATACCGAATTGCTACCTCTCTACGGACCTTCTGGCATGGCTTCTTTCTTCTCTTTTTGAAAAGCCTTTCATTCCAGGCTCTTTCTTCGGTGCTTCTTCAAAGCCTGCCTACTTAGCCGACTATCTATGGCTGCCTATGTGGAAATAAGGAAATTCGTTTCCTGCTATGGATGATCGATCTCTCTTTCAATACTTCCTATCTTCCTGCTCGGGAAATTGAGATTATATAAGATAGTATATAAGATAAGAAAAAAATTCCTCGTTCGCTAGGTTTCCTTTTTTGTTTAGAATGGAGACAGGGGGGTACTGCCACTGGTGAAACTATGTCGGGGAATTATTATCCAGTAGGGGCTGCTCTCTGCTTTCGTTATTAGAGAAAGGGGAAAGGGCTTTTTCAACTTGCGAGTCTTCTAATTCTCATTCAGAACCTAGTTGACTAGATGTTAAACAATCACCATGACTAAAACTAAGATCTCTACTTTTTTGCCATATATACTTTTAAGACTCAGTCACGCGGAGGGCAGACCAACCGCAAATCCTGAGTGGGTGAGGGACCGGCTTAGGGAACTCTTTGACTGCCGGGCCATTCTTGTTGCGAAGGAAAGCAATTCCGAAAGCGGCTACAACCTTCACGCGGGCATCCTTAACCGGGATGCCTCAAAAAACACAGCCCTGAAAAGAATAAGGCGGGTCTTCCCTGAATGGGAGGGGCGCACGTTGGATGTTCAATTCCATATAAATTAGGCGTCCATTTGTGGGTTCCTTTTCAAGCTGGACGGACAACCCCTTGTGTGGGGGGAATACTCCTCGGAATAAAGACTTTCGATTGCCGCCGGGGCTAGTCAAAAGAACAAAAAGGCTACGACTAGAACCCCAGCGGGGCAACTCCAAATCATGGAGGCGAATCCCCCCGAGCAACTCCAAATCATGGGGACGACTCCCCCTGAGAGAATCAAAAGACAAAAAAAGCTCTGCCCAACCCTCCCCGCAGATCAAGCATGGCCTAAATGGGTCTCTCAAATTTAAATTTGAACCTTGAGAGGCCTCTGAGCTATCACGAATGTCATTTTAATTATCCCAATATCATCCATGAAAAATAGTCATAATTTTTTTCCCAGATGCATAAGAAAGAAGAAATCTGGAAGAAAGCAATAATCCAAACACCAAGAGAAGCCATTTATAGCAATTAATCTTCAGTTTATTTATACACTAATTTACTTACACTGCACACATGTAATAGTAGTAGTAGTAGTAGTAGTAGTAGTAGTAGTAGTAGTAGTACAAAGTAACAGAGCATTTTTTTCATATACAGACAGAAATCTACCATTCAATTTATACAAGATAAGAAGAATCAACAACTAAAATGTACAAAGTGGACCTAAAAAAGATTTATTAGGTTTAACCCATCACCATCACATCTTCTCAATCAAATGAACATACCATGGGCCATGGACACCGCAGGACACCGTAGCCGCTACCAACACCACTTCACTAGATCCCATCACCATATCGAGTAGAGAAGCTGCACCCACCTGGCGGAGTGCCATCTCTGCCAATGCTCTTCCTCCCGGCCCATTTCCCCCAAGAACAACTCCTCTAACAGCTAAATAAACAGCACGGGACACCCGAACAAAAATTGGGTCCCCGGCTTGCAAGCTTTTCATTAACAACCTCGCCATAACATTCTTCCGGGACTCGAGTTTTAAGGTGTCACCGGTTTTGTCATCACCTTGTGTAAATGTACCAAGTAGTTCAGTGATTTCCTTGATTCCAGCGTCCTCAACGGAGTCCAGAAGCTCGGAAAGTTGCTTAACACAGCTCAATATTATGTTTTCCAAGTCTGCCGGGTTGCGTACTATCTGCTCACTGAGGAGAGTTTGCCGAAGAACTAGAATGCTGCTCAGATTAAGCGAATCAGAAAGGACACATCAGTGAGACAATGATAAAATTGGCCAGAAACCTTTGTTACCAAAAGGAACTAGAATTTTAAACAGAATGTGATTCATAAAAATATAAATTCATATAGAATTTCATGCCAGAACAATGTGACGTGACAATGGCAATCTTGAAAATATAACTCACGCTGATGGGCATTTGTTTTTAAAGTGATAGTAGCTAAGGCTGCCACATCAATTTCGATCAAAATTCTGTATAAATCTTTGTTTGCATAGCACACTACTAAATTAAAAAAGATGAACGTATCCTAATTACTTGGAAGAGGGGGGGGATCTACTTCACATACCTCGTAGAAATTACAATGATCTTCTGAAGTTGGGCTTGAACAGCCCTAAGCCTAGAGAGATTGAGCTTCAGAGTTTCAGGCAAAGCTTCTTGTGTTAGCCCAGATACACCAGTCACTAACTTCAACAAGCCAAGCCTCACTAACAAATCAACCTTCTCTCCCTTGCATTCTAGTTTATTATCTGATCCTATAACAGAAGAGCATAGTCCCAGTGTTAAATGTATGTACATCACGTTGTGTACCAGTAGTTCATTTCAAACAACAACAATATCAGTAAATAACAGACCCCAAATGAGTATAACATTTAAACCTGTTGCATTTGTTGCATTTTTGCTGGTAGAAGGGACTGAAGTCAGTTGGCTTCCACTTGTTTTGACTATGCTTCCACCCGTTCTGAGTGTGGTGGAAAGAAGAAGCCTCTGAGAAGAACTTTCATTACGCCTCGTCAACTCCAAGAGTGCATTTGTGTGTTCGTGCCATTCCTGATCTTTGCTATCCCACACAGACGAAAGCCACCTCGTTGTCAAAGGTAGAGCAGTAGAGGCATCAGAGGGAGGTCCGTGATGTTTGGCAAAAGCATTTTTCAGATACTCCAAACCGGCAGGCCCCTTTAGAAGTGGTTGCATAATTTTTATACGTGCTTTGCTGATCTCTTGCTTGAGTGCCTGTCGGGAAAAGTGTAACAATCGCTTTCATGCACAGGCTACAAATTATACAGAAAATGTACAAATAAGGGTATGTGACATATTCCCATGCATCCATGGCAATGGTTTGTAAAACGAATCACTCTTTTAAGTGGTTACCTACCGGAGTTGTGGCTCGTAAAGAAGATTCTCCAAATTAAGAAACAAAGTTGGTCTGATCATATAGTGTTGTTCCCGGTTTTCTTTATAATCTTAATTTATTTTACATTAGATTTATCTGAGACAACCTACTTGTGATGAATTTGATCTCCAAAATTTATGAAATTCAATTTCCAGTTATGCTCTCATGGGCTAATTTTGCAGTTTATGATTTATGAAGTTACATTATTCATTCTTGCAACAATGCCACCCCCTAGGGAAATATTATTACCACATTGTTGCACAATATGCAATAGAGTGAAATATAAATATAAAGAATAGAGAAGGCATAGACAAATACCTGTATTTGCTCCAAGACAAAGCGCAAACCCTTGATCAACGCAACAATGTATGATTGGTTTGATCCATTTCCAGCTTGACAAATCTCAGCTAGTTCTTTCAGCAATTTCAGGTGGGCAACCTTTAGTTCATCCTCCTTCGCTGGAGCAGAAAGCTTCTGCAAAGTGATCAATGCAAAATCCAGAATCTTTCCAAGATAATCCATGTCTAGCTTACCCAAATTCAGCACCTGAGGAAAGAAAAAAGAAAATAAATTGTGTAAAAAGAGTGAATAAATCTTGGCCGCAACAATAGAAAAAGTGATTGAGCATGCTACCTGAGAGAGAATGTCCAGATCAATAGCTCCAAAAATCTCTTCTTTCCAGTTCTGAGGAGCCATCTCACAGAATCCATCTCTCACTTCCCTCATTAGTTCAACAACCCGGTCATAATTAGGCTCATCCTGTTTCATAGATTCTGTGATGCCATCCCAGAAAGCCTTTTCCATTGTCTCTTTTATCTTTGCCTGCAGGGTAAAGAAATGAGGAATCGAGTCCATACGAACAGCTGAAAATGTCAACCTATCAAACTCAAACATGTGGCCACTCACAGAGAATGGACACAATTTCCATTATGCTTTGTAAAAAAAATTTCCATTATGCTTTGTAAAAAAACGAGACGTGTCTATGTCTACACCAACTCAGGTGTAGGCTTCATATTATAGTATAGATATAGATATAAAAATTTCAAAATGAGAGCAGTCATTTATTTATAGGTGATTTATCAGAAATTAATAATCAAGACAATATACTAACCTTCATGCTGCTTTGGTCTTCAGGAGTGACATTCAAACTATCTGCAAATGTAAGCTCATGAAGAACTTCATTCACCATCAATTCATTCTCCATGGCCAACTTCTCGTCAGACTCATGGAGTTGGTTCATACTGCTGCTAGAAGCAGATGAGCTGACTTCTTTGAGTTGAGAACGATAGTCATCTTGAAATAAGGAGCGAACAACAGGACTTGGCTTCTGAATACCTTCGATTGTACTACCTCTTTTATCTGAGTTAGAAATAGAAGTAAAAGCTGGGGAAATAGGTGGGTTTGGAGATGGAATATGCATGATTGGGGGAGACCCTACTGGATGATGATTTCCATTCTTCTTTGCTTGGAAATATTTGGTTCTTGTGTCAGAAAGAGCACATTCCATTCGTTCAATCCCAGCATCTCCACTGAGATGACGCACTTTCTCCCTCAAAAGTTTCTGATCGTCAGTGACCTTTCAACAGAAGTAACCAAATAGACCATTAGTCACATCAGTGGGAGAACAAAATTAAACACTCGTTGGCGCAAATGTTAAAATCTTAGGCTTCCAAATGAAAATGTATGTTCAATTCTTAAAAGTAGCCACTTTATGCAGATACTGCCAGTGGTTAGCATGAATTGAGTGCACCTCTCCCAGCACCACACCCCAGCAATCAATCAGTGATACGCACTATATTACATCCATCTTCCAAACCAAACCAAACCAAACCAAGCCTTAAGTCCCATCAAATGGATCGGCTATATTACATCCATCTTCACGTGAAAAAAATTAATAAAATGCACTTTTATGGTTACATATTGGAAACACTTCAAGCATAATAAAAGAAAAAAAAAATCAGTATGAAAAGATTCGAAAAGAATAATTTATTTAGCAATACGTTTACCAACTTTATTACAACTACCTAAATTTTGTTGTGTAATTTTATTTATTGGGTATAATGATTCTGCTTGAAAGGAATTCTTTGGAGGTAAGGAATAAAACCTGTTTCTGAATAGCTTTCATGTCATGAGTTAGATCACCATCACTATCCCCATCTGGAGTCATCTTGCACTTCTGGATCATAGACAGCTCAAGATGACAGGCAGCTTTCACCAAATCCTCCTCCAACGATTGAGCATCCTTAACCTTCCACGCAACAAAGCTGTTCAAGTAGGAGCACCATGCTGCATCAAAAGCTGCAAGCTGAGACTTGAAGGTCAAACGTCTTGATTGTTCAGGGCCAGACACTTCATCAGAATTCTGTATAGGCCCATTTAGTATTATCTTCATTAACAACTCAAACTCTCGAACAAACTTTTCAGCAGACTTGGCCAGAGCAATTTCACGTTCTCCTTGGCCACTGAAAACTGCATCTGGATGGCCCAGTATCATATAAGCACATAGCACAACTCTCACCTGGTACCTTGACAATTTAACAGGACTCTTGGCAACTTCTCTAACAGACACTGGTCTCTTGGCATCTTTGCTCTGGGTAGGTGATTTCCTGGGTGTACGCCTCCTGTTTGGGGAAACAACTCGCTTAAGAAGATGGTCAATGTCATCCCAACTAGAAGGATTACTGGTAGCAACAACAGGTTTTGACAGCTTATAGCGGCTCTCAAGACGGTCAAGTAAAGCTTTTACTGTCTGAAGGGTAGCAGGTGATTCAATACGACGAGCAAGCTGCTCAAATGGCATCAATTCCATACATCTTTCATTAATATTCAAAGCATCATAAGCTTTTGCCAAATCTAAGGTAGTCTTGTTCAGCTTAACGAAATGTCTCCAGCACCTACAAAGCATAATAACCACCAAAGTAAAACCATGGCTCTACTATATATCCAACTAAAATTCTAAGTAGCTTTAAAATAATTAACTACGAATCCAAAGTCATGCATGTGAGAGTATTTGGAATAAAAAAGGTTCAGCCACAGTGCGAAAATAAAAAAACATATTCGCTTTCCCCGTTCGAAAACCAGATAGCCCCAGTGAAATTGATTATAGCTGTTGTTCAATTTAAACCTGTGGTTGCATTACTACTATTTGTCATTCACTCTAAAACATATAAACCAACTAAACCAAACCAAACTAAGCTTTGTGTCCCAATTAAGTGAGGTCAGATGCATGAATCCTTTTTTGTTATTCACACTGCAATACATGCATTATTTAAATCCAAATCAACATAAACAAATAGCTAACAAAATTAGAAAGTTCCCTCAAGTTAATAACACCGTAAAAGTTAGGGCTCATAGACAGCTATATATGGCTTGATCAGGCAGCAATGCCTTTAAAACAATGAATCATTATGAAATCACAGAAACACTATGAAATTTATTATATTGAAGGTTAATGATTGATCATCCATAGAACATGTATACCTTGCCAACTTTCTAGAGAGAAGGTCAGCCTGCTTGTGCATATTCCAATCAACATGAACAGAGTTATGAAGCCTTCTTCTCTGACTTAGATATTCTGCTCTTTGTCTCTTCGCCTATTTCAATATCAAATTCCACAAGTAAAAAAATAAAGCAAGCGCCATAAAATGGTGATAAATTTGGTGGAAAATGTTATTATGTGTATACCCTTTGCAGTTTGTCCTCCAACTTGTCTTGCATTTTTCTCCTCTCAATCTCTCGCTGGTAGGATACAGATTTGGCGATCTTTCGCACTTGCAGCATCCTAGCACGTGCCCTCTTCTTCTCTTCTTCCAGCAACCCTAATCGCTTCTTCTCAGCAGCTGCACGCTTTTGGGAAATTGCAGCACGCACACGCTCCTTATACTTATTTTCTCGAGCCATCCTCCGTAATAATGATTGAGATGTCCTCTCCTTCAGAGTGGCCCTGCGTTGCCTGTAAGCCTTAAGAATAAGCATTCGATTTGCTTCAGCCTGTCGAACCCGCGACTCCACTTTTGTACCTAGCTCTGCACGTTCCTTCTTAAAACGCATTTCTACTCCAGTTTTAGCAGCTTGCCGCAACTCATCCAACTTAGCTAGGCGCATCTGAGCCTTTGCCAGAATGCTCAACCTGTTCGTCCAAACAATAAAGGCGTACGTGTGAACCGTCAATTATGAATATGTACATTACTATAAGCAGAGTAGTCATCCTAGTCTTCACTCAAAGCCATGCATGGTGCAGGAGGGGAGGAATCTTCAATTAACTTTTGCATTCTCAAGGATAAGAAAGTAAGAGAAATTTTTTAACAGAACTTTCCATGGAATAAACAAAATAAACAGAACTTTACGAGGACAACTTTTGGAGAATTACAAGTAGAGTGCAATTACATCTTCAAAGCCTTTAAAGGGAGGGGAAAAAAGTCAAAAGAATGGAACATGGAGGGGAAAATTAAGTAGCAAGCTGAAACAAAAATATTATAATCATCACAAACAAAAGTAATTTGACCAAATAAAATTGTTTAATTGAAAGTGGATATTTTGGGATAGGGCCTACGCAATGACATGGATGACCTTTCAAACACCCAAACAATAAACCAGCTAAGCTTTTCAAAAAATGTAAACAAAACCTTCTTCACGAGCCTAACCAATAGCAGTAATTATTACTCAAAGCTTATAATTAAGGACCAAATACTATGCAATAAAAATTAACCTTTTCTGCTCAGCAGCTTGGAGCTTTGCCTCAAGGCGCTGTCCTAGGTCTTCTTCATGGGATGAAGACTGCGAAGGACTTCTTGGCTTCGGACGAGCCTTACTTGACAAGTTCTCGTAGAATTTCTGCAATAAATAAAAGAAAATTTTAAAAAAAAAGATCAGTGAAACTCGGGTAGGTTGATGCTGTTAAAAGTTAACACTAAATAATCCTCAATAACATAATTTATTTTTTTGTGGATGGATTGCATAATGCAAAATGGATTCAAAGTTATAACTTTCAAAGAATTGAATACAATTAAAAAAAAATTGAAACCCTTTTTACAAACAAATTATTGCACCAACAAGACCTAAATTGTGAAAAAATCAAAATTGCAAAAGTGAAATTATGTTAACTTAAATTGAACTAATGGAATTAAAGTTTTCATAAAGTGAATATAAGCTTGAATTTCTAGTACAAGTGAACTCAATAAAATTTCTAAGGGAAATTCTAAATACACACCTTGAAAAGGTGTACCATATGCACCCTAGTTATGCCATTTTCTTCTTTCGTGATGGCATTATTTTAGTTATGATTCATGAGTTCTTTATTATAGTTGTGTTTAGTTATGATATTTCTTTTAGTTATGACTAAGAAAATATGAAATTATGTTTTTTTTCCCCCTTTATTATAAGGTGTGTTCCATATCTCCTCAGGTTGTGTTTTACTTATGATAATTTTTTTTTAGTTATAACTAATAAAATATGAAATTATGCTAGTATTTTTTTTTTAGTTATAAGGTGTGTTCCATAGTATTTCCATTACTAAACACCAATCACTTCCCTCCTAGAAAAAATAAAAATAAAAAATGAAGGCCCAGCCTAAACACCAAGGATCCTCTAGAGTGAAATTTCTCTAAAGTTTCCTAGAGTGCTACATTATGTGGTTGAGATTTATTGGCAAGCACTCTAGGAAACTTTAGGAAAAAATCACTCTAGAGGATCCTTGCTCCAGCCTAAAAAGTACATATATATAATATAAAATTAAAAAGGGGACAAAAATGCAAATATAGTTAGATGAGGGAGAAGAGAAAGAAAATGAAAAATAGGGTATCCAAAATTTTGCAATAATTTTTGTGAGAGAGAGAGAGAGAGTGTGAAAAAGAGCAGTGAACAACATTACATGCCCATGTGAAAAAAAGGAAAAGAAAAAGAGCACATAAGGAAAAGTACAAAACAAAATTCAAACAGAAGAAACATCTACCTTCTAACCTAACACGAAGGTAAAATAATAAAAAGAGAATTATTACGAAAATAATAGAAACGAACCATTTTGTTTGGTTTCTGGGAAATGGAAGGAAAAGCTCTGATTTTGATCAACATCTATCTAATTCTTAATAATAGAAACCAAATCAGCCAAATAATTAATTCATTTATTTATATAATAATAATTTATAAAAAATAAATAAATAAATAAGACCGAAAACAAATTTCTGAAATTTTCAATAATTTTCCTTCCTTTTCCTCGAGTTTCTCACAAGCCAAACAGTGGGTATAAAAAATTTCAAAATTCAGACTGGAGAAAAGAATTGTATTTTTTTAAAAAAATTAATAATAGTTTCCTTAATTTGGTACTCTAACCTAAACTGAACCCAAACAAAACTAGTTCAGTTGCGTTCAATTATTCTTTAATTAGACATCAATTCAACCAAATACACAAAAACACTTCTAGATTTCCTCACAAACAAAACAAACAGAGCCAAGAAGATTGTAAGCAAAGCAAAGAACAAAAGTTTTCCAATTATCGATCAAAACTAATTATTAATTTACGAAAAATTTAAGAGAGAGACCTGTCTACGAAGATCGGCATCTCGAAGCTTGGCTTCGATTTCTTCGACAGTCGATGGAGAGGTTTTGGTCTCCAAAAGCCTCCTCCGAAGCCTCCGGGGAATCCTCGGCGGCGACGCCGTATCATCGGTTGCCGGAAACTCCATCGCAACTCCGGAAACCCTACTTGTCTCCGGCGAATCCACTCCCACCGCCATTGAAATCATCATCAAACTCCGATTACAACAACAGTTCAAATTGCTAATCTTTAACGATTAACGTTTAATTATAGATAGATAAATAGAACCGATATGTATATACACAATCAATCAATATATGTGTCTTTAGAGAGAGAGAGAGAGAGAGAGGGAATTCGGAGAAGGAAAGGTCGCGACGGCTGTGGAGTTGCGTATCGGTGTTTGCGTTTTCAGAGCTGTCGAGTTTAGTTTTTATATTTGCTTTTTCTGTAAAATAAAATAATAATAATAATAATAATAAAAAGGATTAATTACCCTCACCTCCACCAAATTTGGAGAAAATATAAAAGAAAATTATAAATGCATTTTTAAGATTGTTCTTAGTTATGATATTTTTAAAAAAAAATTATAATTCAAAAAATTAAAATTATGTCATTTTTCTTTTTAGTTATAAGGTGCATATGGTGCATATCCTTCAAAGGGTGTGCACTATAATATTTACCGAGATATTAAATATTAATTGTAGGTTGAATCTTAACAAATTAAATTATTTAATTAATTTTTACATTGTTTCAAATTAAAAATAAATATATTTTTTTTTATAAACATAACAAACTGTACTTATATCCTATATTTTTTAGAATTTACCATATTGACATACTCGTATCGTATCAATATCAGAACTTATACTTGTACCGGTGCTTCATAGAACACAAGTGAACAGACTTATTTATTTTCATATAATACCACTTTAAACCTCCCCTCCTAAAAGCAAAAGTAAAAAAAAAAATTAAAAAAAATATCATAAAGGTATGAGCGTATGTGATGTCAAAGATTCTCTGAATCTTTCTATAATCTACTATTTTGAAATTTAACTACCATTATAGTGGAACAACAATAGAATATTTGTTTTTTCTCTATTTTATATAAGAGTACTTGACGTGTCAGCCGAGGTGCCACGTGTCTTGGTCGTTGTGCCGAGGTCATCTCGGCTAGGCCGAGGTTGCCTCCGAAGATATCGGAATCCGAGATAAGCGGATAAGAGACAAGAGTCCTAGAATGAAGAGGGAACTCAACTTGGATATGGACAAGAGTCCTAGATTGAGAGAAGACTTCAGTTTGGGTAAAGATAAGACTCTTAGAGAGTTTATCCTGATCCCACTGAGAGTTTCAGATTAGCAGTAATCCTAAGTCCATTAGGGCCAGGGCTCCTATTGGGACTAGGATTGTATTGGCTATAAAAGAGAGTCACCCCCATGGGTCTAAGGTATGTTTTTTATACTCAAGCTTGTGAGTTTAATACTTGATTTATCTTTGAGAGATATACTGACTTGATCGTCGGAGTGCCCCCGGGTGGTCGAAACAACCGCGGGATTCTTATATTTCTGTTACAGGTCAGTCAGGTGCCATCTATTCTGTCAGTGCTCTCCAGCCGGTTACTAAGTGGGTAGTGTGGTCGGAAAATCACCTACACAATTTATATTAGTTTTAATGGTTTTAATTTTACTAAACAAAATTTGATATAATTAGATAAAAATAACTTATTATATTTTTTTCAAAATTTAAATAGGTGAACATAATTTATTTTTTAATTTTTATTTTAAGGCGCGTTTGCAATGAATGTGAAACTACAGGCCGAAATGCGTAAAATTGTTTGCTTATCCAGAAAGAAAGATTGCCACGTCGTCACGCTCTCCCAACGGTTCTCTCTCCCCTATCCTGGGCTCTTTGACCACTTTGTCCTTTTATTTATATATGATGAAAGCTGCCATTTTTATTTTTATTTTTTTATTTCGAAGAATATTAAATAAATGAAAAAAAAATGTAAATCAATATTGTACCATTTTTATAATATTATTCAGTCTGTTTGGTTTCAGTTTTTTTAATTCAATTTTTTAAAAATTAATTTTTTAATTTTTTGTGTTTTTTTGTTTTTAATTAATATTTTTAAAATTTTAAGTAATTTTTTTACTTTTTTAGATGTACTTTATTTAGATGTACCTAAATAGTAAAATATTTTAAAAAATTAATAAATACACAAAAATACAAAAATGTACTAAATTTTCGTATTTTTTGGTATTTAGTGTATTTTTTAAAGATTTTTTCATAAATATTATATTTTTTAAGTGTGTTTATGTTAGGTGTGTATAAAAAAATTTTAAAAAAAATTCCTTAAAACATTAAAAAATTAATTGAAAATATTAAAATACGAAAAATAAAAAAATAAAAAATTCTGAAAACTAAAACCAAACAAGCTGATTATTATTATCCCCTTTTTCATTTGACAACCAAATTTCAAAAATTGATAAGTATCTAAACAAATTTCAGTAACATATAATTTATGTTTGCCAAAATAAATTATGTAAATTATTTCAACTAATATGTTTTCAAAACCTCAATGCATTGATGGTCATAATTTTTTATTCATTTTTTTCATTTTATTGTAAACTTTATCGAGTGATTAACAATAAATTTTGCATTAAGAGTTTACCTCATTTTGGATCCGTTTAGTTTGCCTCGGGAATCATAATTTTAGAGGCAAAATTTTCAAATTATTTTTCAAAATTTATAACCAAATATACAATTCAAAATTCAATTCAAAAATTAATTTCAAAACTCATAACCAAACACACAACTCAAAAAAAAACTCTTTTCAAAATTCTTTTGATGATATAGTGTTGAAGATGGTTAGTGATGTGATTGTTAATTATTTTATAAAAAATCTAAAAAAAATAATTTCATAAAAAATATTTAAAACAAATACATATATATATATATATATATATATATTCAAATAACAGGCTGCAATTGCACAAAAAAAAATCGCATTGTCTCAGTCAACCGGCCAGATGCCCGGCCAGACGATCAGGTAAACTCAATCCGCTCTTTTCAAAATTCAAAATTCAAAATTTAAAATATTTTTCAAAATTTATAACTAAACAATTTTTCAATTACTCAAAACTCAACTCACAATTTCGCACTCAAATCACAACTCCAAAAAAAGAATCATAATTCCAAAACTAAATCAAATGGAGCCTTTATTTTTCCCACTTTTGTCAATAGGGCAATAAAAGGTGGTGTTTGGCAAGTGGTTTTGGGGCTAAAATAGCCACAAAAAATAAAATAGGCTATTTTAGCCATAACAAATAAAACATCACACTCAGCCCATAATCATTACACTCTTCTCTCACAAAAAAAGTCAAAAAAATCAAAAACTCAAAAAGTCCTTCCCAAACTAAGCTTTTTAGCCCAGGCTAAAATAGTCAACAAAACCAAAAAGCTAAAAAACCAATCCACTTCCCAAACGGAGGCAAAGAGATTTTCTTAACCTCAAAGTTTGAGAAATCAATAAGTTAACAAAAACGTTCCAAAACAAAAATCAAACGAAATTAAAAAAGTCATGTTAAAAAAGTTTCAATATAAAAAAGTTGACTAAAAAAGCTAATGCCAAACGAACTCTTAAAGGCATTTCAATTTATAAAGCACTCGTTTGGCATGTGAGTTCGAGGGATTATCAGGTTAAAATAGTTACAAAAAGATAAAACAATTTAAATAGTCAATAAAACAAAATTTCACATTCAAATTATAGTCATTTTATTTTTTTCTCACAAAAGTAAAAAAAACTAAAAAATTCATTACAAACGAGATTTTTTTAGTCTCAGACTAAAATAGTCAAAAATTAAAAAGTTAAAAAACCAACATATATCACAAATAAAATTGGAGTATGACGAACTCTTAAAGGCATTTCAATTTATAAAGCACTCGTTTGGCATGTGAGTTCGAGGGATTATCAGGTTAAAATAGTTACAAAGCAAGACAATCATGAATTTTAACCCCTTTTAAAAATAAAAATAAAAATAAAAATTATAAACCCAAAAAAATAAAATTAGCACAATTTTTTATCACATTTATTAGAGAAGCACTTTTGCAAAACATGCTTCTAGAGAAAGAATGATGCTATATGCTAGGGCTGGGCAGCGGGTTATCCGACCCGCACAAACCGCCATACTCGAACCGACCCGCACACATATGGGCGGTTTCACAAACATAATAGGGTCGGGTAGAGTTTGGAATATAACAATTATTCGAGTTACGGGCGAGTTGCGGGTTTGACCTACATCCGCCATAACCCGCTTATAACAATTATTCGAGTTACGGGAGGGTTGCGGGTTTGACCCACATCCGCCATAACCTGCTCACACTTAGAATAATTTATTTATTTATTAGAAAATACCTGGACCGTTTATCTATGATCTATATCCTATTTTTGGTTGTGCTGCCCAAACAAACCAAACCCTAATCCTAATCCCTTGCTCTCTTCTCTCACTCATTTTCTTTCTATCTCTCTCGTTCTTCCATCTTCTCGTACTCATCAATTGACCTCCACTTTGTGTCACGCCCCCAAAATATTACACATAATCCAACTTATAAGAGAAGTGAACATAATAAAATTGACATAGCATGTAACATCATTTAAAGACAACAAAATAAATGCCTACGGGCTTACATCTTTCCAAGATATGACTTGGTTACAACAAAATAGAAAGTCATATGCTCTGTACATATTAAGCCCGAGGCTTGGATAAACATCTAAATATTTAAACAACAAAATAAAGCCTCCAGTTACTAAGTCTTCCTAAGCTACGTCCTTTAAGGAAGCATGTCACCGATACCTAAAAGTGGTTTTCTAAGTAGGGTGAGCCAAAACCTAGTAAAGATAGTCTAACACAATATATGAAGTTTAACTAAGATATAAGTGCCAGATAAACATTCAGTATTTATGACCAAATTATGGAAAATGAGTAAGAGCACTAATTAGTGCTACCACTAATGATGTGGCAGTGGGTCCCACCATGAATGATTTGATATTTTGGCCTTGGTGTTGTATTTTTTTTTCTTTTTTTATTGAGTGTCATGTCATTAGTGATCTTTTTAGAACTCCAAAATTAGTGATCTCTATCATTGTTGCCAAATTATATTCTTCCCATGACCATTCAGTATTGATACTCACATCTCAATCCATTTCCTTTTATTCATTTCATATTATTTCATTTCATTCAAGTCATATACTAAATGTATAATTTTTCAAATAGCCTAACCGAGACTTCAACTCAGTGGTTACCATACAAGCACTTCAACCTTGCCATTTTATGAAAATTTCGTCCGCGGGATCGGTACCCATCTATACATAAGATTTCAAGACTTTCACCCTGGACACTTCGGCCAACTTAATTTTCAATGGAGTCCATCCCCTATCTCCTCCCAAATAATGGAGTACATCCCATTTCTTCTCCCAAAATGTTTATACATGTACAATGTATTCAAGAGTATCGTCATATTCAATGACTATCAACTATGCATATTCAAAGCCTTATTATACTGCCATACTCAATGACACAATTTAAGTGATTAGTTTCAATTTACCTAATCCTCATGCAATTTCTACAATAATCGTAACTATCTTCCACCGATAGCCCAATGCAGATATTTCTAAACAGATATACAATCTTTATAACAGATAATTCATCAAATTTTCATAGGTGAGTGATTAAAAGAATCCAACTACACCCTTCATTCATATATCTCCCCAATTTCACATTCTTCATATCAATTTCATTATTTATAAAAAATAATTATTCCAAACATTTTAGGGCAAAACTCCTAATTTTTTTCAAATATTGACCCCAAAGTTAAAATCAACTATTTTAACATGAGATAGGCTCACAACCAAGTCCCATAATCAATTATATAATATAATATAGAAACCCCTCTTTTCAATTTGAATCCAAACCCTAGGTTTACCCAAACACTCCCAAAATCTCACAATTTGTACATAACATCAAATAACTAGGTTAAAGATCATATCAAAGTGTAAAATATCCATACCTCAAGAAGAGAATACCAAGCAAGGTAAGGGAGAAACCTCAAAGACATCGAAATCCAACTCCAATCGAATCAAAATGTAGATCTTAAAGCACTCTACCTTTTTCTCAAAGGCACTAGGATAAAGAGGTCAATGGCTCTAGATGAAATCAAAGAGAGAATGTGAGTTTTAGAGAGAGAAACTCAAGATCTAGCTTTTTGGGAAGTTTTATAGATATATATATATATATATATATATGAAAAAGTGATTTGAAATGTCATCTTCACGGACTGTTATACACGCAGTCCGCTCGAACGTAGAAAGTGACGCTCAAGCGTCAGACACGAAGTTCTGCTCGAGCATAAAAAGCGGCGCTCGAGCGTAGGATACACTCTTCCGACAGTTTTGCAGACGAAGGACCCCGCTCGAGCGTGAGATTAGACGCTCGAGCGTCCAATGCACTCTCCCAGTATTTACAAAAACTGCAAAAATATTGAAAATTGACAAGTCCCGCTCGAGCGCAAGAATGGCCGCTCGAGCGCAAGAATGGCCGCTCGAGCGGAAGAGCCAAAATTTGGGCATCACAGGTTTGGAAAAACACGCACCCAACCTGTTCCAAACACACAACCACAACTCGATAACCAAAATAAAAGGAAAACAAGATATGAATCACTATTTAGAACTTTACGACTCGAGTCTAGAACACAACAAGTAACGGACCCAAAACACGCACCCAACCTGTTCCAACATACACAACCACAACCCGATAACCAAAATAAAGGGAAAACAAGATATGAATCACTATTTAGAACTTTACGACTCGAGTCTTGTAAGCCTTAAGAATAAGCATTCGATTTGCTTCAGCCTGTCGAACCCGCGACTCCACTTTTGTACCTAGCTCTGCACGTTCCTTCTTAAAACGCATTTCTACTCCAGTTTTAGCAGCTTGCCGCAACTCATCCAACTTAGCTAGGCGCATCTGAGCCTTTGCCAGAATGCTCAACCTGTTCGTCCAAACAATAAAGGCGTACGTGTGAACCATCAATTATGAATATGTACATTACTATAAGCAGAGTAGTCATCCTAGTCTTCACTCAAAGCCATGCATGGTGCAGGAGGGGAGGAATCTTCAATTAACTTTTGCATTCTCAAGGATAAGAAAGTAAGAGAAATTTTTTAACAGAACTTTCCATGGAATAAACAAAATAAACAGAACTTTACGAGGACAACTTTTGGAGAATTACAAGTAGAGTGCAATTACATCTTCAAAGCCTTTAAAGGGAGGGGAAAAAAGTCAAAAGAATGCCATGAACATGGAGGGGAAAATTAAGTAGCAAGCTGAAACAAAAATATTATAATCATCACAAACAAAAGTAATTTGACCAAATAAAATTGTTTAATTGAAAGTGGATATTTTGGGATAGGGCCTACGCAATGACATGGATGACCTTTCAAACACCCAAACAATAAACCAGCTAAGCTTTTCAAAAAATGTAAACAAAACCTTCTTCACGAGCCTAACCAATAGCAGTAATTATTACTCAAAGCTTATAATTAAGGACCAAATACTATGCAATAAAAATTAACCTTTTCTGCTCAGCAGCTTGGAGCTTTGCCTCAAGGCGCTGTCCTAGGTCTTCTTCATGGGATGAAGACTGCGAAGGACTTCTTGGCTTCGGACGAGCCTTACTTGACAAGTTCTCGTAGAATTTCTGCAATAAATAAAAGAAAATTTAAAAAAAAAAGATCAGTGAAACTCGGGTAGGTTGATGCTGTTAAAAGTTAACACTAAATAATCCTCAATAACATAATTTATTTTTTTTGTGGATGGATTGCATAATGCAAAATGGATTCAAAGTTATAACTTTCAAAGAATTGAATACAATTAAAAAAAAATTGAAACCCTTTTTACAAACAAATTATTGCACCAACAAGACCTAAATTGTGAAAAAATCAAAATTGCAAAAGTGAAATTATGTTAACTTAAATTGAACTAATGGAATTAAAGTTTTCATAAAGTGAATATAAGCTTGAATTTCTAGTACAAGTGAACTCAATAAAATTTCTAAGGGAAATTCTAAATACACACCTTGAAAAGGTGTACCATATGCACCCTAGTTATGCCATTTTCTTCTTTCGTGATGGCATTATTTTAGTTATGATTCATGAGTTCTTTATTATAGTTGTGTTTAGTTATGATATTTCTTTTAGTTATGACTAAGAAAATATGAAATTATATCTCCTCAGGTTGTGTTTTAGTTATGATAATTTTTTTTTAGTTATAACTAATAAAATATGAAATTATGCTAGTATTTTTTTTTTAGTTATAAGGTGTGTTCCATAGTATTTCCATTACTAAACACCAATCACTTCCCTCCTAGAAAAAATAAAAATAAAAAATGAAGGCCCAGCCTAAACACCAAGGATCCTCTAGAGTGAAATTTCTCTAAAGTTTCCTAGAGTGCTACATTATGTGGTTGAGATTTATTGGCAAGCACTCTAGGAAACTTTAGGAAAAAATCACTCTAGAGGATCCTTGCTCCAGCCTAAAAAGTACATATATATAATATAAAATTAAAAAGGGGACAAAAATGCAAATATAGTTAGATGAGGGAGAAGAGAAAGAAAATGAAAAATAGGGTATCCAAAATTTTGCAATAATTTTTGTGAGAGAGAGAGAGAGAGTGTGAAAAAGAGCAGTGAACAACATTACATGCCCATGTGAAAAAAGTGTTCCATAGTATTTCCATTTCTAAACACCAATCACTTCCCACCAAGAACAAATAAAAATAAAAAATGAAGGCCCAGCCTAAAAAGTACATATATATAATATAAAATTAAAAAGGGGACAAAAATGCAAATATAGTTAGATGAGGGAGAAGAGAAAGAAAATGAAAAATAGGGTATCCAAAATTTTGCAATAATTTTTGTGAGAGAGAGAGAGAGAGTGTGAAAAAGAGCAGTGAACAACATTACATGCCCATGTGAAAAAAAGGAAAAGAAAAAGAGCACATAAGGAAAAGTACAAAACAAAATTCAAACAGAAGAAACATCTACCTTCTAACCTAACACGAAGGTAAAATAATAAAAAGAGAATTATTACAAAAATAATAGAAACGAACCATTTGTTTGGTTTCTGGGAAATGGAAGGAAAAGCTCTGATTTTGATCAACATCTATCTAATTCTTAATAATAGAAACCAAATCAGCCAAATAATTAATTCATTTATTTATATAATAATAATTTATAAAAAATAAATAAATAAATAAGACCGAAAACAAATTTCTGAAATTTTCAATAATTTTCCTTCCTTTTCCTCGAGTTTCTCACAAGCCAAACAGTGGGTATAAAAAATTTCAAAATTCAGACTGGAGAAAAGAATTGTATTTTTTTAAAAAAATTAATAATAGTTTCCTTAATTTGGTACTCTAACCTAAACTGAACCCAAACAAAACTAGTTCAGTTGCGTTCAATTATTCTTTAATTAGACATCAATTCAACCAAATACACAAAAACACTTCTAGATTTCCTCACAAACAAAACAAACAGAGCCAAGAAGATTGTAAGCAAAGCAAAGAACAAAAGTTTTCCAATTATCGATCAAAACTAATTATTAATTTACGAAAAATTTAAGAGAGAGACCTGTCTACGAAGATCGGCATCTCGAAGCTTGGCTTCGATTTCTTCGACAGTCGATGGAGAGGTTTTGGTCTCCAAAAGCCTCCTCCGAAGCCTCCGGGGAATCCTCGGCGGCGACGCCGTATCATCGGTCGCCGGAAACTCCATCGCAACTCCGGAAACCCTACTTGTCTCCGGCGAATCCACTCCCACCGCCATTGAAATCATCATCAAACTCCGATTACAACAACAGTTCAAATTGCTAATCTTTAACGATTAACGTTTAATTATAGATAGATAAATAGAACCGATATGTATATACACAATCAATCAATATATGTGTCTTTAGAGAGAGAGAGAGAGAGAGAGGGAATTCGGAGAAGGAAAGGTCGCGACGGCTGTGGAGTTGCGTATCGGTGTTTGCGTTTTCAGAGCTGTCGAGTTTAGTTTTTATATTTGCTTTTTCTGTAAAATAAAATAATAATAATAATAATAATAAAAAGGGTAAATTACCCTCACCTCCACCAAATTTGGAGAAAATATAAAAGAAAATTATAAATGCATTTTTAAGATTGTGCTTAGTTATGATATTTTTAAAAAAAAATTATAATTCAAAAAATTAAAATCATATTTTTTTTTAGTTATAACGTGCATATCATAGTGTTTTTCTTATTTAAAATATAAATTATTTTTTATAATTTTAAAAATTATAAATATTCTTGTCATTTAATAAAATTTGATAGAAAAGGTAAAAATGTTACCTATATTTTTATATAATAATGAAATTAGCATAACTGTTACTTGAAATATGTTCTTGATATCAGTAAAAATTATTAATTGATTTAATGTAATTAGAAATTTTAAGAGTTGTGATGTAATTTTTAAAAGGAGATAATTAGTCTTTTAAGCATATATTAAGAAATGTATTTATAATTTATCTAAAATATAATTAATTCAGCATTTTTGACATAATTATCTTAATTTTCTTTGCGATTTTAATTTACATATCAGTTAGAGCACTTTTCATCAATATGAATAAAAAAATAATATTATCATATCTTTTATATTAAATGAGTTTGACTTCTTTTAAATTGTTATATTGTAGGGGTGTAAATCTGACCCGGCTCGGGTCAGGCCATGTCGGGCCTCGCGGACTTCTGCCAATATTCGGACCGGCCCACGGACCAAAAAATTGTTGGAAATTGTGGAAAAAATTCTGGGTAAAACCAGAATTTTTCCTCAAGTTTGGTCTATTTTTTAGGTGGGCCCCGAGTGTCGATTTACGGGGCCGATGGACCTAGGTCTGGGCTCGGGCTCGGGCAGCCCTAAACAATTTTTTTTTTGTTTTTAATTTTTTCTATCAAAATTTTATTATTTTCTACTAAAAAAGACACTGGACTGATGGTCAGGCCTTAAGTGGGCTTTAAGCGGGCCGATGGGCCAGGTTAGGGCGAGCTTCAAAATGGTGGCCCAAGCCCTGGCCCATAAGCTCGAGACCGGGCCCATCCCGGGCCGCAGGTGAGTTTCAAGCCGCCCACAAGCCACGACCCATTTTTACAGTCCTACTGAGAGAGTATTTGGGCTTAAGTAGATCTATTTTGAAACCGATTTTGATGTTTCAAACATTCACTTTTTAAGACTTGTTGAGTAAAACATTCATGCAAAAATAAAATGATTAGACATTGGTAGCTATCTAATTTAATTATATTTGTTTTAAAAATATGTCGATAAATATAATTTCAATAATAGCAATCTATTTTTTATAATACAAATTTAATTCAAATATATAACTATTAATATTTAATCATCTTAATTTTTTTTTATAAATATTCTACTCAACTAGTTTTAAAAAATAAACAAATCGAATCACTGAAATTGATCCAAAATGAGTCTACTAAGCCCAAATGATTCAAATTAAAATGATGACAATTTGAGAGAAACCAAACCTTGGAATTATCAAAATAGAACCAAAGTGAACCGAAATTGTCGCACAACTGACACTCCAATTAATATTGGGACATTTTGGGATTTAGGCTTGTTGGTTTTTGGTTTGGTTTTAGCTCTACAGACTTTATGGAAGAGTATTGTTAAATGCCCTTAACATTTTACTTTTGAACCCCCACTTTTTAAAATTTTTTATTACAATTCTTTCCTAACACCAATTTTCAATTTTGTCCCCATCATCATCTTTTCGAACTTTAACCATAACCCTAGTCCTACCCCCACCTCTATATTGGTTGGTAGCTCCTAATGACACCATCCGACGACCTCCATTGTTCCATTACAAAAAATTAAGGTTTTAGTGACCAAAATTTAGGGATAAAAGTATTTTTTAGGGACCAAATATTTTTGTTGCGAAAGTGTCGTTATTATATTTTTAGTAATGAAAATTGGACAGCTGGAACATATGCCATTGTACCCCGTGTTTCATCCTTTCAATGCTTTTGGAGAGTTGTGTTTTGAGCCTTAAGCTTGGGCCGATATGCATGCATGTTTGCATAGCATTTTGAGTTTCTATCTTAGCATGTATGGCCACTGATTTGGACTATGGTCCGGGAGACCACTTTTGTGGTCATATACCACTTTTGGTACTCAACAACTGGGTTTCGAGGCTCCCGACTGCGCGCTTTGCCTTTCGAACTCTCGTTTTGCATCCGTGTTGGTTTGTTTTTGGTACAAACCTTGTTAATAAAATTATTAATTTATATAATAACAACTCTTTTTCCTTTTTGAAATCAATCAATAAAATTATACTAAATAATGATGCAATATTAACATTATACTAGTGCTTAGAACAAACCAATCTCAGAATAAAAATTTGTACACATACAAATAATTTCATTCACCACATTCCAATCCTTTTTTTAAATTAAAAAAAAAACAAATAATTTAAAGGGAAAAAGATAATGACCCTGCCAGCAATTATAATTATATAACTTGCTCAAATAACATAATTGAATTTAACTCACATTTCAAAATTTTAAAACCTCCAAAACCATCAATATTCAAATGATATATATCATAACCAATTAATGTAATAGATACAAACTCTTTGCAACTCTCCATGTAGGAAATGAATATAAACCTATAAAGCCAATCAATTTACAAATAAATGACATATTATAGGCAATGTAAACTGTTATGACAAGGGATAAATATCATGCTAATTTTTAAAATGAATTAAGAATATGCTAATCTTCAAGCCATTAATTTAAAGAATACCATGTACTGAAAACCTCAAGGTACAAATTAAGAATATGAATTTTAATTTGACAAATAATGAGTTTTATTTTAATCTTTAAAATAAGCTCAACACATTTTATAAAACTGTTACTTTTAACAGATATTGTTTTTGACAAAACTAAACCCATTAATATCTCAACATATACAAGAGACGAAGATAGATAAACATAGATAATGAATCAACTTTTTCTAAGCTCAAGTCATACATATTCATAACAATAGCAATTTTAAACTTATTACCCTTAAGCCCCTAATCACAGTGGGAATTCTGCTAGTTCTTTCACCATACTCATATATATATATATATATAAACTAAAAATCTTAAACAAAATTAACATAACCACTTTAGATTGTTAGAAAAATGTTATGCACTAATATAATTTAATTAATATAATGATTAAGAGATTTATGATAAATAAAACATGAAAGTAAGTAAATTCATATAGAGTAAGAAAGAGTTGGCCCGTGAGACTGAGAAGCATGTAGTCACTGCCTAAAGTCATTGTTCCTCTCCATGTGAAGGTACAACTGAAGTGCAACAGCTCTAAGATACAACCCAAGCACTCATAGCCTTCCTCATCCGATATTCACGTCCACTAAGAGGATATGAACGAGTTACGAATTATAGTTACTGAAAAATACAAAAGATAGATCAAACTATACTCTTCAATAAAATCCCAATATATATTATACTCATGAATACTCTTGTGTGTCTCTTATGTGTCTTCCATTTTTAGAAAACATAGGAATATATATATATAAGTGAAAATCTTATAATAATTAATACATAACATTTAATCATGACATACTTATAATAATAAAACTTAATAATATCTTTGTACCCAAAAAGTTTAAAACTAATATTAATGTTAATAACAGTCAAACAAATTAAAGAGAATAAATTAATTTTCTTTTAATTAAAATTCCAACGTTCCCCCACTTTTAATAAAAAAAAATTTAATAATACCATAAAGTATATTATACCCCTCCTATTTTTTTTAGAGAGAATAAAACAAAACAAAAATATTTTGCAACTCTGATTTATAAGGTCTAATATTTATGTTAGATTCAACTGATGTAATGTTTAAAATTTAAATTTAATAAGATGATTGATTCAAATACCTAATAACCAATTGAAATAAATAATTCCCGACATACTAACTACATCACCATATGATGGTTTTGCTACATAATTTAAGAGACCAACTTGACAAGCTACCCTTCCTCTTGATCTGAGGTACAAAGAGAAACATCTACTCTTTCGTTTCATTTGGAATGAGAGTTGATTTTTTTAATTTTTTTTAAATATTTTAGTTTGGGGTTAAAAAATCTTATTTAGGATAGATTTTTTGACTTTTATAAATAAATAAAAAATTATAATTTAAATATGATATTTTATCTTATTAAATTAAAAATTTTATTTTATTTTTTTATAATTATTTTAGCGCCAACCCAGCCTAACTTTCCAAACAAGTGCTTTATTTGATGACTTTAAATTATCAATCCCAATACCAATGTATTAATAAGTTTTCAATTGGATTCCATCCTTTAAGATAAATAAATAAGGACAACAACTGTGTGGGTAAAAATCTGACCACACTGCCCGTTTAGTGATCAGCGGCTAAGCACCGGCAGAATGGATGGCTCCAGCAACCTGTAACAGAAAAGAAAAAGCTCCGGCGGTGGTTCTTCCACCCGGGGGCACTCCGACGATCAAGTCAGTATGATTCTCAAGGATAATCAAGTATTAAACTGAATACTCAAAGTATGAATTACATACCTTAGACCCACGGGGGTGCCTTTCTTTTATAATATACTCAATCCAAGTCCAACTAGAAGTATGACTTCTATGAACTCCAATCTTAGTGCTTACTCTGGACTCTTTAAGAGATAGAGATAAACTCCCTAAGAGCTTTATCTTTATCTTAACTAAGTCCCCTCTTTGCCTTAGGACTCTTGTCCCTTATCTTCGGACTCCGACATCTTCGGAGATGACCTCGGCTTCCCCGAGATTACCTCGGCGTAACTACCAGGACTCGTGGCACCTCGGCTGACACGTCGGCGTCACCATGCCACGTGTTGGTATACAGAAAATATGTCCCCACAACAACAACAATAAAGTTTTAATTGAATGAGTTAATAATGATATTCATTACTGAAAATGTCAACAAAAGTTCCTTGGCCAT